AGTATTAGCAGGAAGCCTGATTGGTTTTATCTGGATTCCACATATTCTGCAGGAGCCCATGCATACAAATGAGCTAGCAGCATGAATCTGTAAGAATGTGCAAGTTACTATTAAACCAGTATCTTAAATTATAGTTTTGCTTGGTTAAATATTATCGTAGGTTAGCAAAATATCTGCCACTGCTTCAGTTTCTTAAAAGAAAGATCAAGTCGTGGATGCATATCATGATCAAAACCTCAATTAAAATAGGATGACATTTGAGCATGGAACAGCAAGTACATTCAGTGACACTGCAACTTTTCTTATAGCAGTGCTTTGTGATAGAGTAGTAATAAATTACAAGGTAGGCTGAGAAAGTGTCCTCTTTTAACATAAAAATAACTGGAAACACCATGTACCAAGTTCATAATATAAAAATTCACAAGATTTAAATATGATATTTCTGTTACAGATGATGGATGTTTTTATACAAAGGGAAGAAGCACTCAGGAGACTATGGAAAGCTTTGTATAACTAAACCAATACACCATCAACAACTGCCCCGCACATCGTAGCTAGCACTGCAGCTGTGAAGGCAGAGCATACAATTTCAAAATCCCTTCTGTCTCTTAATCCTCTAAAAACTGCTTCTGAGTAATTTTAAAAGCCAGCATCTTTTATGACTACACGTAAAATGAGTTTAAGGGACTGTTAAAAATCTCAAGGAAATTCAATAGCCTAATAATCTCCTCCTTCTAAGTGCCCAACTGATTCGGCAACATTCAGCAACTGCTGCAGAAAATGTTTGATGACTATGTGAAGTTACTAACAGGGTAACATGCTACGGAGTGCTGAAATATCTGGCTTGCTCCCTTTTATATATAGCTGAACCTTTTAACTCACTAAAGCACAGAATCAGTGAAAAAGTTTTTTTGGACTACGCCAAGCCATGGGTGACTGTGCTGGGGATATGTGCTGTACAAAGTTTCCCATCCTTCACGGGCTAATTGTCGGTTTCAGATCAACAGACATACTAGCACTATGTCTGAATATGATCACTACCTCCAATTATCATTAAATAAGGAGGGCTAGCAAGACAGACAGTCGGAGCCCAATTTAAACCTCACTGCAGCAGAGACTGCAGCAAGTGGATTGGACACACCCTATTAAAGATGCAGTACATCATTTCTGCCCTTCAAGCTTACTTCATCCCCTTTGCTGCAATGCTGTCGACAAACACAAAGCTTAACCCTTTTTAGAGCAAACTGCCTCAACATATCAGGCATCAAAGTGTGGAGTATTTAAGGTAGAAACTTAGGATATAAGTGATCTGTATTCACTACAGATACCCTCTTTCCTCAAAACAAAGTTTCAATATATATGTGTGAGCGTATGTGTGAAAAATATTTTGGTTTGTTGTTTTCCACATAGGAAGCACTTGCTGCAAAGAACAGGGTTTGCAAATGCCCACCCAAGAATCTTAATTCCTGGATCTTCATTGCAAAGATCCAATACAAGGCAAGCATGACCATGCAATTTTCCCAAAGCCGTCTGGGTTATATGGTAAACTGAGGCACAGGTTCCACACAAATTCCCTTACAGGGTTTGACTGAACTTTTTATGAAAAATCAGCTATTTGTGAATTCAGGTCAACTTCAGTGATCAGTTTCAGTCAGAAGAATGAAGGAAAAGTGGAATTTTGCTGAAGCTAAAGCAGAAAAACATTTTCTAAAGGAACAGCTTTGACTTTTAATTTCACAACTGACCTGAATTTCTTTCCAAGATCAAAATTTTGTCTGCATCAAATTACTAAACAAATCAATCTATCACACACAAATATTTATCTATGATTGCTGTTCTTCCTTGCCATTGAATAAAGCTACTGTGCAAGGATCTGAGGAAACCTGGACAAAATATTTTGTAGTTCACCTGTCACTGGCTTGCAAGAGACCTGCTGTAGACAGTAAATTAGAGCAGTCCCAGAGGTCAGACCTACTTGAATTTGGGAAGAGCCAAAGCAGCATTATCCTTACTCCCCTGTGAAGGGCAGCCCAGATTCTGAGCCTGAGAGCATGCAGTGAGAAGCCTATGGGACTTTATTAATGACTATGCAGTATGGACAAGAGGGATGCACTGCAGAATCATCTGGCTTGCTGTTCTGTTCAAGAGCCCAGATTTCTGCCTTTCTTCCATCCCTCATCACAAGTAACTACATTAACAGTCTAATTGCCTGAAGCTGCAGGAAAGAAAAGAAAATCAAGACAAAACGTAGTACAGTGTGGAGGAAAGCAGTGAAACATTCCTTTTAGAAAGCATCCAGTTACAGAGGAAAGAGGAAAAACAGACGCCCTGTGAAAATGCAAACAAGAGTGGCATTGAGCCCTTATGGATAAGCCAGGCACATGTACCTAATGCAGAAAACTGTTCTTTTGTATTCACATCAATGCCTAAACTTCCTATTAACCAAAATAAAAGTCTGTCAGTAGCTTTTCAGTGCTTTTGCTTGCCTGTAGCAGCTCTAAGGGTGATATCTACTGTCTCACTGCTGACATGTGAAACACTGAATCCTTCTCGCTTCAGTCAGAATGAAAATAAACTACAGTGGCTTCTGCTGAGCAGGGGGTCTGATTCTCCTTTTACACTCGGGTAATTTAACTGATTCAGATGAGCCAGTGTTATCAGTGGTAGGTATAAAGACATTTATATGAGAGTGAGAAAGATTCAAAACAGCCCATGTCATACAGGACTGCTGTACAATTTTTACACCTGTATTTAGAGATACCTTTCCCAGTAACTGTGCCAATGAAAGCAAACCCTTGTCTAGCAATATAGACTACTGGCTATAGGATTTGGTGTCGTAGGCTGGAACAGTAAGGAAACTAACAGAGGGTTCCTCAAGCACTTGCAATCCAGACTACACATACACATTTACTTTTGCATATATAGATCCTTTACATTTTTAGAGACAGAAAAATCAAGGTTCAAACTAACTCAGTTCTCAAGGACGATTACAGGGAGTTATTTGGTACTGACCAGTAGAAAATTGCAGCACGGAACCAGTGGTTTGTCCCAGATCTTCAAGCAGGTAAAAAGAGGATTTCTGTAGAGCTTTCCTAATTCACTGCAGCTGATGATACATGTTCTTACCCTTAGTGATTTATGAGAAGAAAGCAAAGATAAGGTTTTATTTCTTTCATCTTGTTTTATTCCTTCCTCAAAGGCTCTCTGTTACTGGTGCCTCCCCTCTAGACTGGACTGGACAAAGCTAACTGGACTAGAAATTGGTTTCTTCCTACTGTGAACACTATAAAAATAGTGTCCTTAATCTCTGCTGGCTAAAGATGCTCTGCTTCAGACCCTTATTTTGCTCCATTTCAGTTGCTGACTGGATACTTGAAAAGCTGGCTTCCGTTACTAGATAGTTCACCTTTGGGCATCCAGTATAAGAACGTCGTGGGGTTGACCACTAGGAATTCTGGTCACTCCACTAGCAAGCTGAATGGGAAAGGGGTCTATCGGAACACAGATCTAATGTTGGAGGAAAAAGACCTAGAGATCATTATTCCTGGTTTCTTTAATAAACTTTGGGGGTGCAAACAACTGATTAGGGCAGGAACTACTGATCATCTGAGGTAAATCCAACTTCTTCACAGTTTGACCTTGTGATTTCCAGATTTCTGCCCAAATGCCTAGGATGTATTTTGCAAACGACAGCATCTACTTGGCTCCCAACCTAGTTTTTCACCTCCAATCCTTATCTGAAGTTTAGATGCCAGAATTTATGGCTACATGTCTATTAATTCTCCCAGATGTGATTAGCTGCTCTGTCAAAGTAAGATGATGCATAGGTGTTCTTTCAAGACCAGTGAAGCTCAGGTACTAACTCATTTAAGGCACTGTAAATCATGCTAGCAAGAAGCACAAAGGTACTGGCATTAGAGTCCATATTCCCCTGATGCTACTCACTAGGTATGCTGTCTGCCTAGTATTTTCTGAATAATGTGTTGTAGATATTTTTCAATGCTCAGCTCCTGAAGTCTCAGATACACAGGCTCTTAGGCATTGTAGTCTTTTCCTTACTTATCCTTGTTCTAAATAAAAACCCCAAAAATCCCAGAGAAACTGCGTGACATTATGTAACTCAATTTAAAATGGGAACTCTTCAGGAAGAGGTCAGCTATTACACTGAGGTAAGTCATATAGAAAGGAGTATAACGTAAAACAGAGAATGTGGTAGAGAAAGAGCGAATCTGCATTGCACAAAACAAAACATCCTCTTCTCTGTAAGCCTTTTGTAGAGGAATAAAGGACATCTACAGGCAAAGATTTCTGCTCCACCATACCCCAAGGTGAGGTGATATACTAAATTACTATGGACTTCTGGCCTCAGAACCTGGAATAACATGCAGCAGCCCTTGGCTTCTTGCCTTCAGAGTAAGCACTCAAAACTGGAAGATTTGTAGCTTGGTATGTAAAGACTAAACCAAAACTGAAATGTCTACATTACACACCATTGGTTCTACCTACTAAAAAAAAAGAAGGTGGGGGGAGCAGGGAAAAAGAGAGAAAGCAGGAAAGAGAGAAAGACAGAGCAGTTATTTTCAAAAGAATAGAGTTGCTTGGATTATTGACATGCGTGACACATAAGGTCAATTTGTTTGCTGTTATCTGCCAATGCACAACAGTGTCATGTTCTGCTGTCACTGTTGATCACTAGACAAGTCACAGACATTGGGACTTCTGTAGACATGTCACAGCTAGGCTAGACAAAAATGATCTTGTCAAAGATGAAAGGCTGAATCCCTCTTGAACCTATCCCTACAAAACATCCTTTGGCTAAAACAGAAGTAAAATAAGCAGGATTTGGCCCATGGTGTCTTAGTACCAGAAATTTAAAACCTATAGGATGATTTTTGATTTTTCATGTAGCATTTTATAAACTTACTTACAGTGGTCCTGTGGTCAGATATGCCCTCCCTTTAAAAAGCACAGGATCTATAAAAAGCTCAGGGTAAAACGTAATGTATGCTGGAACACAACGATTCAAAGCAGTTGTGGTTGAGAACAAGTATATTAGCAGCCTGGTAAGAAGACAGACAAGCCTCTCTTCCTCAAAAGCTTTTCCTTTCATGTTTGTTAACCCATCTGTTATTAAAATAAAGATTCATCACAGCTACAGACTCTACTGGGAATTCTTTCCACACAACAGTTTCTGCCACTGTTTTGCATTTCAAAAGAACACACTTGTTGTAAATGTGAAAAAGTAACCTGTGGGAAGTATCAGCTGTGGAAATAGCATAAGGACACGTAGGTATGCAGAAACAAGCATCATTGAGCACTGAAACAGAGTATTTAATAAACAGATATCTAGAACACAAGATTTAGCTGAATATCTGTGGACCTCAGCCACTACTCTTATTGACTTAAAAGCACTGGCATGACAGCTCAAAATTTTCTAAGCATTTATGAACCTTCCATAGGAGGATGGTGGTGCACAGAGATGTCCCCTGTTCCACAGGAAGTCTCCTGATGACTTAATAAGAAGTTAGGGGCATAAATACACTTCTGAACTGGGCAGAAATGTTGACAAAGCTCCCAGTAACTCCAGCAGATTCAGGCAGGTTTGTGTGAGGACCTAACTAAAAGTCCATGGAAATCAATAAAAAGAGTCCCGGTTTCTTTAGCTACTTTAGGATAGCCTAATATATTGGGACATACTGCTGATAGAGTTAAACACTTGCGGGTGAGATCACAGTCAGCACTGGAGTCTGCTTGCTTAGATGGATTATTACATGGGATTGTAAAGAGGGACGGTAGCACCAGTTAATGGATAACCAAAAGTAACAGCCAGGTTCAGATAGGTCTTCCTTACTGCACGGTGCCATTTTGGGCAAAACTCCTTCCATTATTCACTTACCTTATCAATTTAAATCATTATCTCTGTGTTAATCTGTGCTTGTAAGGTTCCTCCTACAAAATGTTCACACGTCTGTTTATTTCATTCTCAGCTTTTTAGTATCATCTTAACATTGGAATGACCCTTAAGAATATTATTGGGATGTTAAAACGCCACACATAAGAATGTCAATAAGTGACAAAATAGAGATCTATTGACAAAAATAAAATATACACTTTTGCACATCAAATGAAAGGAAACAAATCATGATTATGCCATGTTAAAAGATGCACTGAATTGCTCATCTCTGTTACAACCGCACTGAGTCAACACTGCTTCCGCCTACTTCCTTCAGGATGAGAATCAGGCAAAATAATGAGAGTTACTTGCTTTGCCAGTGTATATTAGGGCACTGTGTCCAAAGATATTGATCAGTGAAGAGGGGCTGAAGTAGGCTTCTTTGATGTGAAACTCTGTTTGCCTTGTGCAAAGAACAGAGTAGTAAGAAAAGCTGAAACAAGTATCTGGTTGTGCCAGCCTCATCACATAACAAGGTGTTAGAACAAATGCATTCTAGCAAAAGACTGAGTGAAGAGGCCATTTTTGAAACCAGAGCACTGAGATGCAGGGAGGCACTGTTTTATT